CAGTGATATGGTACACATGGACATTATTGGTCCTAGTGATATGGTACACATGGACATTATTGGTCCCAGTGAAGTGGTACATGTAGACATTATTGGTCCCAGTGATGTGGTACATGTAGACATTATTGGTCCTCTTGATGTGATACATGTAGACATTATTGGTCCTAGTGAAGTGGTACATGTGGACATTATTGGTCCCAGTGATGTGGTACATGTAGACATTATTGGTCCTCTTGATGTGATACATGTAGACATTATTGGTCCCAGTGAAGTGGTACATGTGGACATTATTGGTCCCAGTGATGTGGTACATGTAGACATTATTGGTCCTAGTGATGTGGAACATGTGGACATTATTGGTCCCAGTGATGTGGAACATGTGGACATTATTGGTCCTAGTAATATGGTACACATGGACATTATTGTTCCAGTGATGTAGAATATGTGGACATTATTGGTTCCAGTGATATGGTACACATGGACATTATTGGTCCTTGTAATATGGTACACAGGGACATTATTGGTCCTAGTGATGTGGAACATGTAGACATTATTGTCCCAGTGATGTGGAACATGTGGACATTATTGGTCCCAGTGATATGGTACACATGGACATTATTGGTCCTAGTGATGTGATACATGTGGACATTATTGGTCCCAGTGATATGGTACACATGGACATTATTGGTCCCAGTGATATGGTACACATGGACATTAATGGTCCCAGTGATATGGTACACATGGACATTATTGGTCCCAGTGAAGTGGTACATGTGGACATTATTGGTCCCAGTGATGTTTTGTATGAAATTTATTTTTACTGATTTCTGATTTGTTAAATGTAAAGTATTGAAAAAAATGCATATTCGCCTGATTCTTTTCCAATATAGATTCAAAACTTTTGTGTGGAAAATCATGTCAAATTTATCAAAAAAGTTATTGGAAAATACAGAAAAATGTGCAAAATATTATATAAAATTTTTTGACCGGAAAAATTATTAATTCAGGGTCTAGTGAGCCAGTGTATTTGTATAATCACTAAATGTGTCATGTTAAAATAAAAATTGTAATTTTAGCAAAAAATTAATAGATATTATGTATGCTAATATCGTATTCCAAATATATCATGTCTTGATATTTTGATATATGTCTGATAACTGAGACAATGATTACAATTGAAATTTATGAGTTTCCAGGGAACGAATGTGACTGTATTTAATCAATGCCCATATAATCAGTAAAGCCAATATTGTAGCGCAGCAAGCACTCCGCAACAAACAAATTGTACTCAGAATATGTGGTGTAAATGGTTAGTATTTCCACTCAGCAATGTGGGTTTAACTCCCGTGATTGGCTACTAACTCAGTAGTGAAAATGAGTACATGCTACATCTTTAGGGATGTTGTCCAGTCATTTTTCTGTTTTAAAACACAGAATTTTGTTGTAATGGATAACAAATTACTGTAGATAGCCGGAAGCTCCCCTCTTCTCCTATGGAAATAAGAAGTATATACTTAAGAGGCTGGCTACCAGTATAAGTACTATAGGATATGATGAGCATT